TTTATTCAAACTGTTGTAACTTCTAAACGGTGCGTCTGATTTGAATGCAACATTCGGCAAATTTGTTTAAAATTAAATTATCTACAATATTGCCTAATATTATAAGACCCTACAGCAACTCTGTATACTTTGAAAATAGAACTTATTGTTGTAAAATTGTTGCCGGTACTATATTCATAAAGAGGTCGTCGAGACCTTTAAAATGATACCTCACACGACTAATTTGACGCGAAACGTTTTGACCCTTCATTCAACACATCAAATTATTTATTATTTATTCAAACTCTTGTAACTTCTAAACGGTACGTCTGATTTAAATGCAATATTCAGCAAATTTGTGTATAATTAAATTATCTATAATATTGTCTGATATTATAACGCCCTACAGCAACTCTGTATACTTTAAAAATATAAATTCTTGTTGTAAAATTGTTCCCGGTACTTTATTCATATAGAGCTCGTCGAGACCTTTCAAATGATACCCCACACGCCTAATTTGACGCGAAACGTTTCGACTCTTTATTCGACCCATCAAATTATTTATTATTTATTAAAACTCATGTAACTTCTAAACGGTTTGTCTGATTTCAATGTAATATTCGACAAATTTGTGTAAAATCAAATTATCTACAATATTGTCTAACATTATATAACCCTACAACATCTGGGTATGCTTTGAAAATAGAAATTGTTGCCGTAAAATTGTTCCCGGTACTTTATTCATACAGAGCTCGTCGACACCTTTTAAATGATAGCCCACACGTCTAATTTGACGCGAAACGTTTCGACCCTTTATTCGACCCATCAAATTATTTATTATTTATTAAAACTCATGTAACTTCTAAACGGTTTGTCTGATTTAAATGCAATAATAGACAAATTTTTACAAAATTAAATTCTCTTAAACATTGTCTAATATTATATAACCCTACAGCAACTCGGTATACTTTAAAATCGTCAAAGAAAATCAATAAACTTAAATTCGTAATATATATAGTGAAGTCGCTGATGAAAAAGTTGTGAATACATTTTAATTTTCCACACAGAGAAATATATTAGTTAATTTATATATGCGAAATTGTTTTTAAATGTATTGTGGGTTTTTGAAATTAGATGTGTCGATGGATTTATTATACATATAAATATGTATATATATATATATATACATACATATAAATATATATATATATATATATGTATATTTGTATGTATATTTATATGTATGATGGAGAAAAAATTATGTATACGATTATTAGAACAAAATTTGATTTGTTTGCGTCTGAAAAACACACACATAGATATTTAAACAAAAAACAATATTATAATAATTGTATTATATGAATATTATTAATATTAAATTGATATTTGGAAATAAATTGTTTTTATAATAAATAAATAAATATATATATATATATATATATATATATATATATATATGACGCCATTTTTTCTTATATGCAGTAATTGAGCACAATGTTCAATCAGTGTTGCAACCTATAAAAAATATGACAGTTTGCAAATTCATAAATACTTTAACATATACACTAATATATAATCCATACTATTTTTATACTATAACTAATTAAATTTTGTAATTTAGTAATACTGTAGTACTTAAATATTTAAATATGATTGAAATAATTTTTATATGTCATTTATTTTTTCTTCAGTTGGCACCAGCGCCGCCTACTTCGTTGTTCTTAACGCGCGAACTAAATCTGACAGTTGGAGAGATCACAAATCATAATAAATTGATAAATTAATATTAAACTCGTGTTTAGTAATTAAAATGAATTATTAATTAATTATTGAAGTGTTAGTTAATTGTGCAAATAAGTGCTTGTGTTTAGGATGTACTTAATGCTGCTTATCTTAGGTAAGTTTTGTTATATATTAATTTTATGATGGTTGATGGATTCAACTGCCATTTGCAATATTTTTACATGTATAAGATTTGTTTTATTGTATTTGCATAATAATGAATAATTGGCGCAATATGTAAATTATATGCTATCAATTTTATGTTGTCGCTTTTCTTTAGTAAAAAATGTAGATTTAGTAACAATTAGTAAAAAGTAAAAAAGTCCTTTAGGTACAGTAAGGTTAGGTCGGTTTTTTGATTGATTTTTTAAAATACTCTTTAAACTATTATGCATTAT